TGGGCTCACCAAAACAACAATGATGGCTGCAACCAAAAAGTAGCCAGGCATTGTGGCAGGCGCTTGTGGTCCCAGCTACTGGGGAGGCTGAGGCAGGAGACTCACTTGAGCCTAGGAGTTGGAGGTTGCTGTGAGCTGTGATGCCACGGCACTCTACCCAGGGGAATAGCTTAAGGCTCTGTCTCAAAAAAAAAAAAAAAAAAAGTCACTTCTCTTTGAATCTCATCTTTCCCCATCAAAAATGAAGCCACATTTGGGTTATCTATAAAGTTTACTAAAACATGACCTCCTTTGTTCTTGCATTCCAAGTCATTTGTAGTCCTGGGCGACTTGGATTTGGCCTTAAACTCCAAGAAGAGCCAGGTGGGACTGCACCATTGAGCTGGAACCCATTTAGGGGCTCAGAACAAATTCCTCTCTTAGATAGTACAGTTACTTTACCTTGCTCCTGCCCTGGGCAAGGGTACGCCAGCCTTGCAAGTTTTCTTAGAATGATGACTCACCCTGCTCTGTTTCAAATCCATAAGACATGAAAAACTTAACAGTGGCTTCAAGATGGAGATAGCCTGGCTAGGTAGAGAGGCTCATGCCTGTAATCTTAGCACTTTGGAAGGCAGAGGTGGGAAGATTGCTTGAGTCAGGAATTTGAGACCAGCATGAACAAGAGTAAGAAACCCCATTTCTACAAAAAGTCAAAAAATCAGCTGGTTTTGGTGGTACATTCCTATAGTCCCTGCTACTTGGGAGGCTGAGGCAGGATGATCACTTGAGCCTAGAAGTTTGAGGTTATAGTGAACTATAATCATGCCATTGCCCCCCAGCCGGGAAGACAGAGAAAGGCCTTCCTTGTCTAAAACAGAAAAAAAAAAAGGAAAGAAAAAAAACATAACAAGATGGAGTCTGCTCAACAAAGGAGAATAAAGAGGAAGAAAAGCAAAACAATCCCAGTGTGAGGCCAAACTCCACATCAGCCCTCCCATTCTATATTTATATCAACCCTCGTGTGAGGAGGCAGGGAGGAGGCTCTGGCTTGTTCTCCAATGACACATGTTGTGATGAGAAAAGATCCCTTCATTATGTGTCCACTTAGTGTTCATTCAAACATGCCACAAAGTGGAAGTAATTAAGAAATCCGTGTAAACCTCGGGTGACCTTTCCCAGTCCTTGTACACACAGTCTCACACACGTGGGCAGCAGTAATGTCAGCCCTGGCTTCCCTGGGCTGTCCAAATTAAGATTCGATGGTGGTTTATGCACTGCCTGGTGCTGACAGCAGTGAAAGGGACTGTGAGCAGATGGGATCAGTGCTGGGCTCTCATCCGCAAAGCCAGGTAGGCTAGGAGGGACAGGCCATTCCTCCAAACCTCTGTGGGCTGGGCATGTCTACATGTGCCCCAGGGCAGAGGCAAAAGGAGCAGCTCTATATTAACAGCCTTTGGGACATATGAAGGCCACCCTAACACCCTGCTTGGAGGCAAGTCATCGTGGGAAGTTCTCTTCTTGCTATGTAAAGATTATAAAGTCTTGTTTGGACTTTCTTTCCAGAGTCCAGGCAGAGTGAGTACCAAACCTTCTCTAGCTCCCCTCAAGGACCCTGTGCACTCTCCCCCAGATTCAGTGAGCTTGAAGGTTGGAGAGGACCATATTGGGAAAAGAGCAGAGAAACACTGGAAAGACTGGTTGCTCTTCCTCAGTTGTAGAGCAAGGAACAGGCTTGTAGAGGCTAAATGGACTCTATGACTGCTTACTTTGGATTCCTTACTCACTCAATTCAATCATTTGCTGAACACTGATCGCCGGGCACTGTCGTAGGTGATGGGGAACAAGATGAGTTCATAGACAATGATAAATAACTGTGCTGAATTTTGTGAAAAAGATAAATATATGATAAGGTATTCTCCAAGGCATCCAGTTCTCCTTCAACAAGGTGAGGGGAGAAGTCTAGTGCTGTCCTCAGGTCTAGTGAGAGAGGAAGGACTGACTGGCTGCCTTCCCAACCCTACAGGGGCAAGCTGCTGTGCAAGGCTTCCAGATCCTAGCAAATTCTCTAGGTAAGTCTCACTGGAGTGAATCCCTAGATGATGAGCTCCTTAAAGGCAGGTCAAATCACCATTTGTATTTTTTATTTAAATAAATCTCACTCTGTCACCTGGGCTAGAATACAGTGGCACAATCATAGGTCACAGCAACCTCAAACTCCTGGGCTCAAGCAATCCTCCCGCCCCAGCCTCCCAAGTAGCTGGGACTACAGATGCCCACACCACATCCAGCTAATTTTTCTATTTTTTTGTAGAGATGGAGGTCTTGCTCTTGCTCTGGCTGGTCTTGAACTCCTGAGCTCAAGTGATCCTCCTGCCTCAGCCTCCCAGGGTGCTAGGATTACTGGTGTGAGCTACTGTACCTGGCCTTCATATCTTTTACCCCAATGTCAAGCACAGGGTTTGGCACAAGGCAAACACTCCCTGATGACTTGTTGATTGAATGAAAGAACACATGAATGAACAAGTCATGTCATTCCCTGAGTGAGTTTGGGGGTGGGAGAGCAAGGTGTAAAATGAAACCATTCAGTTGTCTCCTCTCTTCATCTCTTCTTTTCTTCTCTGTCTTCTTCAAGCTCCAAAGCGTGCAAGCTCCCCCACAAAGCAGGCAAATCCCAAATCTCTCTCTCCATCCAGCCTGTCAAAGAGCTTGGTGAATCCTCGGCAAAGATGACAACCTTGACAACCAGCTAGTGCCAGAGCAGAGGCAGTGCTGTGAACCCTGTTCCCTTCCCCTAGGAGCCTTGGAGGAAGCTGGTGTTTCTCACTTTCTTATATGAAGCCCACCTCCAAAAGTTCATTAGCGTTCTGCTCCACAGTGCAACCCAACCTGTGATCTCTCAGACCCTTTCAGATCTAGCCAGTGAGGATAGTCTTCCAGCTGACAAGCCTGGGGGATCCTAACACCCATCTGCAGCAGATATTAAAAGTAAAAGTCCTCTCAGCAACTCATCAGATGCTAATCATGAACGAGTGCCTGGTTAGGTGGATGGAGATCATTAGCCTCTGAACAGTGTGGTATACACATAAGGAAGCCATTACACTAACAAAACTGCAAATGTAAAAATAGAGCTCCACATAGTTTCCTGGTTACCACATGCTAATTCTGATGGGTTTTCAGTGCCAGGGAAATTTGGTTTCCTTTTGTCCCCTGCCATGCCCTGGGTCCCCTGGGTGTATACTCACTGTGGGAAGAGATGGCTCACTTTGTACATGGCCTACCCCATCACCCTCCTCCACAAGATGTGCCATGGAAAAGTGAATATTGCTGCTCTATTCTGAGGGTTACAGTGGCTCCTGGTTGTAGACCATGGCCAGAGAGGGCTCAAAAGGGTCCCTCTCCCAGGCCCAGAGGATGACCCCCTCCCAGCCCAGCAGGGGACAGAGAAGACAGGAGTGTATAACATCAGTGTCAAATGATCTCAGACTCAGGCTGTGTTCTAAGCCCCAACTTTGCCCCCTGGAGCAGGGAACTGAGACAGAGCTATAAGACAAATATTCTTGGCAGTCTCAGGTTTTCAAACAGCAAGCGCAATAATTTTTCTTTCTTTTCTTTTTTTTTTTTTTTGAGATGGGGGTCTCACTTCATTGCCCTTGGTAGAGTGCCATGGTGTCACAGCTCACACAAACCTCGAGTTCTTGGGCCCAAGTGATTCTCTTGCCTCAGCCTCCCAAGTAACTGAAACTACCTACAGGTACCTGCCACAAAGCCAGGCTATTTTTAGAGATGGGGGTCTTTATCTTGCTCAGGCTGGTCTTGAACTCCTGAACTCAGGCAATCCACATGCCTTGACCTCCCAGAGTGCTAGAATTACAAGTGTGAGCCACACTGCACCCAGCCTCTCAATAATTTTCTTGGGTCAAGTTTCTCTTTGTCTGGGAAACTAAAGGATAGAGCTGGTTCCCTGCAGTGTGCAATCTCTTGTACTTCTGGTGTGGGTCAGAACCATCCTCTAGGTATTTTTTTAAAAAACGTTACAAGAAAATCAACATACATCCCTAAGTGTTGCTGAGAGTTAGAATCTGACCCACTGAGGGCCTGGCCTTTGACAGACAAAGCACCCACTCCTTCACTCACCCATTCATTCAGAGATTTTGTGCACCTGGTAGTCTCTGCCCAGAATGAACATCATTGTATTCAAGTTTTAGGGATTTTCTTGGTGAACCTCACATTTCTGAGGTTCAGGTGATACCTTGTGACTATAGGATGACATGCAGAAGGGGACATGTGTGAGAATGACCGATTAAAAGTGGTCCTGGGAGAAGACGGAGTTGGCAGGCAGCCACCCAGATGGCTCTGGACTGCCTCTTTGGTTCCTAGGACCTTCATTATTTTTTTTTTGTAGAGACAGAGTTTCACTTTATTGCCCTCGGTAGAGTGCCATGGCATCACACAGCTCACAGCAACCTTCAACTCCTGGGCTTAGGCGATTCTCTTGCCTCAGCCTCCTGAATAGCTGGGACCACAGGCATCCACCACAACGCCTAGCTAATTTTTTGTTGTTGTTGTTGTTGCAATTTGGCCAGGGCCAGGTTTGAACCCACCACCCCCAGTATATAGTGCCAGCGCACTACCCACTGAGTGACAGGCACCACCCAGGACCTTCATTTTTAACCTGGACTTGGTCAGGACTGGCTGTTCTTCCCTAGCTTGTTACCATTCAGTCGTAACCTCACATGTGACGCACACAGAGTGACTCCCACAACCTGAGCATTGATGAATGCGGTACCTACTTGCCAGTTTCCTATCCTGGCCCTGAAGTGCTTCTGGATTTGATGAACCAATCCTGGGTCGAGTCAAGCAAAGTGAGAACTCAAAGTGCAATTCAAAGGTCAATGTCTCATTGTCAAGGTAAGAACCTGTTTAGCCTAGGTGACTTCTTCTTCCATATGGGCAATAAGAATAGTTCTAGCCCAGTGGCCCCCAGATCCCAGGAGGAAGTCTTTCCCCAGAACACTTACCCATGCAGGAGAAGCTCTCCTCAGTCTCAGCAGGGGGCTCAGAATAGTCATCAAGGGCCCAGCTACCCTGGGGGAAGGGCCCTGGTTCCTGGTCTTTTTGCAACCTATGGGACCAAGAAGGAGAGGTCACTCATGGCAGAGGTTATTCTGGCCCCAGAGCCCCTCCACTGGCTTAACAACTCTCTTAGAGCATGGTTCTTCTCCTCTGCTGGCACTCTGCGGCCCCCTGAGGGGCTCTTCCCTGCACATGCCCATGCACGCACTCCAGCAGGCAGCAGCCTTCTAAGTAAAGTCAGCTGGCAGGGAGCCCCAAGAGCACTGGGATGCCTGATGCCAGATGATGCTCTTTGACATGCTACCCACTCTCAGGAACATGTATCACCCATAGGGCAGAGGGATTCCTGGGAACTCCAGGCCTTCGGGCCTCTGCCCAGCCACGGTCCTTGCCCTTGGTGAGCACAATCATGCAGCCATGAGTATACACACAGGGAAGGGGTCCCTCTGAAGCTGAGGTTACTGGTTCCTGGAAGCTCAGTGGCATACACAGGGCTCCCCAGGCTTGTGCACCGTCCAAGCAGCTAGAAAGTCATGAAAAAAAAAGGGACAGGCCCAGCTGAGGCTGCAGTGACTCCTGGAAGGACACTGTGCTAGACCAGTTGTGGCAGCTGGAAGGAAGGGTGAGGTCTCTGGGCACCAGCTCCCAAGTGCACACAGACCTCTGCGCACAACCCCAAACGTACAATCGCTCCCAGGAACAAAGGCTGTGGGAGCTTTCATTATAGGCAATTACCCTGGGCTCTCCGAGCTGGCCCGCCCACCCGTCCGCCCGCTGTCTCCAGCTAAATGGACCCTTTGGCAGCTTGGCAGAAGGTGGGGGAGGGCTGTGCAGGCAGGAGGGGAAATTGACAGGCTGGGCCAGGGGACCCTGTAAGACTCCAATGCTACTGAGATTTGTCTTTCTCTCTCTCCAGACTTTACTTTTTTCAAATACTTAGGTGGCTAGGACTCTGAGCCCAGCTCTGCCATTAACTTGCTGTGTAACCTGTAGTAAATCTCTTTTCCCCTCTAGGTCTGGCTTACATCAGGGGGTGAAGAGATGCTCTCAAGGCCAAGATCAGTCTGACAGTTTAGAGTTGTGGGAGGTATCTGCTGCTAGTGCTCAGTTCTTTTTAAACTATTCAGGCAGTTTTGAGCTCTCATGCATCTACAACCCCCTCAGGTGGGTGCTGGGGATAGGGCAGGGTGGAGGTGTTCTCAGAGAAAGCAGGAGACCTCATCTGGCCCCCAAGGGTGCTCAATACAATGGGGACACTCACCATGTACTACTGCCAATTAAATGTCTACCCACATAAATGAGTGCCAAGGGGGTGAAAAACTGGCGTTGGTTGATTTCTTGGAAGAAATTAGTATGGACCTGGGTGTCTGAAGTAAAGGATACAACATATTGATGAGAAAGTAATAGGAAAGTCTACCAGGGAGAGGGAATTCTATATAATGTATTAAATGTTTGACTAAATAACATCATATATATAAAGAGCTAAGCACAGTATCTACAATAACAAGTATTAGACAGAGAAATAGTCTGCAGTATGATTATCATTCCCATTATTATGAAGCAAGGCGGGTGAGGTCGCATCAGCTATAAGGCCAGGAACACTGAGGAAGGCAGCCTTTATCTCTCCATCTCAGCTGACTCCAAACTTTTATCTATGTATGCTCTGCCTCCCGGAACACAGCAGGCCTCCATGTCTGCCCTCACTTTCTCAGCCTGAATGGACAGCACTATCCATGCCAGAAGTCAGATGGAGGTCAAATCAGAGAAGACAGTGGAAGGCTGGGTGTGGTGTCTCACTAGTGTAATCCTAGCACTCTGGGAGGCCAAGGCAGGTGGGTAGCCTGAGCTCAGGAGTTCAAGACCAGCCTGAGCAAGAGTGAGACCCTGTCTCCACTAAAAATAGAAAAAAATTAGCTGGGCATTGTGGCAGGAGCCTGTAATCCCAGCTACTTGGGCGGCTGGGGTAAGAGGATTGCTCATATCCAGAATTTGAGGTTACAGTGAGCTATGATGCCACAGCAGTCTACCCAGGCCAACAAAATGAGACTCTGTGTCAAAACAACAACAACAACAAAACACAACAAAAACCAAAAAAACTACAGTGATAACACTCATTACCCTAAACTCCTGACACCATTAACCATACCCTCCTGGGTGAAGTGCACCCCAAGCCTGCCTGAGGAAGGAAGGAGAGAACTGTCAGAGGAAAAAAAAATACTTGGCAGTTGGCAAAAGGCATCAAGGGCTGTGGTGAAGCTGTTGTGGCTTTTTTCCAGGAGAGCAGAGGGGAATCAGGTGGAGGCTGTGATGGAATTAGATACATGAGACCAGGGGGCTCCCAAGAGCACACTGGGGGGACCTTATGCCTTCTCTGGGTCCAAGGAGCAGTGGTCCATAGAGGAAAGTGATAGATGGCAGAAGATAAGCTTCACTGGGGAGACCATACCTAGACCCTTGACAAGAGAGGGCTGTGGAGGATGGGGCAGAGGAAAAGATGGATTTGTTTCCTGGAGAAAGCAGGTCAGACACAGCCAGGCTGGAGATGAGGAGAGAAGCAGGGAACCTCTGCTTTTGTGTTCTGCTGGGGCTTTGTACTATAAAAGGCCAAGGTGCTGGGGTGGGGGGAGCAGATTTCCACGAAAACAGAATGTCTGTGGATTCTAGGGAACAGATGGCACCTCCTTGGCTATAAAGCTTAGAAGAGTGGCACAGCCTGGCCCTTGGCAGAGCTGCCCCTGACAGCAGTTCTGGCCCTGTAGGTTAGGCTGGGTTCCTGCCCATCAGCCTACAGTGTCTTGGAATGTCCTTGGTCCTAATCTCACCTTTGCCTGAGTCATGACCCTCTCTCTAGCCTTAATCCAGGGCCTGAAGGGGGCAGGTTTCTAGGTGATGGGGTAAAGCAAGCCCCTATTGGGATGGCATGACTCATTTCTTTTTTTGTTTAAAATGCAAACATGTAATAAATGTTTGCTGAATGAAGGAAACATGGGTCTGTTTAAATTGCATTTGAAATGTTCAGAGGAAAAAATCCTGACCTCTTTTGGAAAATGTCAGGTTCTAAATATACCATGGGACTTGTAAGGTGAATCATGTAAAATCTCAAAGAATTTATTGCCTAGACATTTTTTCTCAAAGAATGAATTCAAAATGAAGGCTATCAGGTAAGAAAAGAAGTCAAAGAGTCACCAGGGAAAGATTTTACTAATTGGAAAAAGGCCGTTCAAAGGCAGATCTGCCCTGCATTTCTGCTTCCTGAGTTCTCTCATCTGCTTCAGAATCTAAGTCGAGAAGGTCACAAGGGACAGAAGTGCATTGCCTCTTACAAAAAGAAACATTGGTACACTTTTTGGATCGTACAGTCAGACAGAGGGGATGCTTTGAGAGCCAGGCATCACCCAGGTAAGAATTCTCTTTGGCTGCGGAGTCAGCCAGAATTCTTGCAATAACAAGGAGTTCACTTCTGCTTAATTTGGAATCCTCTCTAGTTGTTGGAAATTTCTTCCTATTGAGCCTGAGATCTGTCTTGAACTAACTTTTAACCACCATAGTGCTGAGTCAGGTCTTTGGAGCTGCACCAAGTAAATCTAATTCATCTTAGAACATGACAGTCCTTCAAATATTTGAAAATAGTTCTCAGCCCTCTCTAAGCCTTCTCTTTCCAAGGCAAACTTCTTCAATTCCTTTAATCATTCTTCTAACACCTTTTTTGGGGCCCTCAGCAACATGTCAGTCTTTCTCCAAATGTTCTTTTTTTTTTTTGTAGAGACAAAGTCTCACTTTATTACCCTTGGTAGAATGCTGTGATGTCACACAGCTCCCAGCAACTTCCAACTCCTGGGCTTAGGCGATTCTCTTGCTTCAGCCTCCCAAGTAGCTGGGACTACAGGCGCCCACCACAATGCCTGGCTGTTTTTTTGTTGCAGTTTGGCCAGGGCCAGCATTGAACCCGCCACTCTCGGTGAATGGGGCCGGCGCCCTACCCACTGAGCCACAGGCACTGCCCATCTCCAAATGTTCTTATGTGTTGATGTCCTTTTAAAATGTGGTGCTTGTAAGTAAATGTAACACTCTCAAAGAGTCCTGAACACAGGCAGATTATGGTAGAACTATTCACTTCCCTGTCCCAGACCCTGGGTATCTACATATTACTGTAATATGAGGTTGCATTTGATTTTTCAAAGATCAAGATATACAAGTTGGCTCGG